TGGCACAGACAAGCCAATACCTTCAGTACACGCAGCATAGTTGTGTTCATATTATATCTAAAGGACACTCACCAAACAAGTCTACAGTAGAGTAAAAGTGGTTCAACAAAAATATGAGAGGCCAACACATTTTGTAACATAGCTCTTCAACAAAGACACTGAATGAATCTGTAAATGCGGGACAACACAGCTTATACATCCAAGATAACATGTACTTACCTAATCTGGTTAAAATGACCACTTTCAAAAAATATAAAATACACTCAAGCATTCATAGAGCCACCATTTTAGCCAAGAGCATGGCACACAGGATATGACATCATGCTTTGATCTTGTACAGCTTTAATTGGAAACCGACTTCCTGTTTCTTATCCATGTGTGTATGTAGTATCTATGATTCTAGTAACGCCCCGTTGACGGTTCGCTTACTGTACTCTGCGCATGCGCAGCGAGACAGTAGCGAATTGGGAGGTGCGGTTCAATTACCTTTTAATTACCATAGATAGTAGAGTAAATGAAATTTACTCTACTATCATAGATAGTAGAGTAAATGAAATTAGAGTAAATTTCATTTACTCTAATATCTATGTAATTACGTAAGAGTACGGTGAGAGTACGGTAGTAACCGTAGTAACTACTAGCAACGAGCAGCTGGCTAGAGAGAGACTCGAGGAGACATCGAAGGAGACGGTGCTAGACTGCTAGCTAAAGCCCAAAGGATCAGAGCCCATCATCGTAGTACGAGGCTTGTGGAGAGCAATAGAGATACGGGAAGAGTAAGAGTTACAGTACACCATGAGTCTGAGGCAAGACCTTAAATCTCTGCAGATTAAAAAGTGCCGTAAGCTCTCACCTGCCGTGTGTACCACCATAGATCTTACTTCTTTGTTTACAGCGCCTTATTATCTTGTTTTCTTCAAAGAAGACCGCTCTTTGGGCGTTGCAAAAGCTAACAATATCATTGAATTGGATAAGGAAGACTTGTTGGAGCCTGGAACAGAGTGCCACGTAAGATTGAAGAAAAATGTATTTGATGGAATTGTGGTGACTCATGGTAAGTGATAAAAACTACACTATGTACAGTTATTATTTTCTTATAAATTGTATTACTTGATGTACATGTAGGGACTGAAATTGATGTGGATATAGTTGCCGAGAAGATCATTAATAAGCTTTATACTCCTGAGTTTTTGAAAGGATTATTAAGTGATGACTCGGATTCTGATGATGTGACAACTGATTGCACTTGTGCTAGCGACTCTGATATTGATGCAAAGAGTAAGAGAAATGCTAAAAGGAAAAGAACAGATAGTAAATTACAATGCTATGTTAATGTGCATGTACGGTTATGATACATTTTAGGTGGTAAGCCAGCTAAGAAAAGTATGATGAAAACGCCTCTCAAGAAAACTAATAGAAAGTCTAAGACTAGATCTAATGTGCATAAAGCTAAAGATGGTACTGCTACAGTAAAATTGTTATTTTTTAAATTAATTTCTTGTATAGAGCAAAAATCTACCATCAATGTTCTTGCAGTCTCACAGAATACAAGTAACACAAGCAGCGCTGTTGTATCTAATGATCCAGACTGTTCTAATGTACCTAATGATCCAGACTGTTCTAATGTACCTAATGATCCAGACTGTTCCCCTATCAGCAGCGCTGTTGTACCTAATGGCCCCAGCTCCCCTACTACATGTATGTCTAGCACTCTGAGTACTACAATTACTTGTAGTTCAACTAAAGCCTCTGATAAACTTATAGGGGAAATTTTGTTTAGTGATGATCAAGGTTAGATAAAGCATTCTACAAGTACATTTTATAATTTTTTTCAATTTTTTAGAGCTGCTAAAATCCCTGTGCACCAGGATTGACAGACTCGAGAGCCAAACCTCTCTGTTGTTTTCCCATATAATGTCAATATTCTCATACTTGGTTAGTTCATAATAACTTCATACTTTTACTATTTTTGCTTATTCTATAGCCACCTAATATTCAACAGTTTCATCAACAGGCGTCATTTCCTCCTTTCAATCAACCCCAACCTCCTTTTAACCCTGCTCTTTCTATACC